ATAAATGAATTTTGATTGTATGGTCAACTACAAACTATAAATTGTTGTTGCTATGTACCATCAAGTTTGAACTGAACCATAGCTGACCTTTCAGCAGGCTTTCAGAGGCAGTAATTGCACAGGAGAAGACTGACCATCTTTCTTCCACAGAGAAGCTCATGGATTTGAACCACATGTCTTCAGGTTGGCAATTCGGCTCCTCACCTCTAGGCCACTAGAGCTCCCTTCAGAGCTACCTTCCTTCAGGAGGAAACTCTCAATTTCCTCCTTTTTGGATTTAGTTGGTACATATATTTGAAGAATATTTGTATTAACAGTTCTTCCCTGTTTGTGTATGGATAGTTCCCTATCACTCACAGCATTCCACCTCGGGATCTTTAAATGTTCTTTGCAACTATGAATGCAACTCCATTCTTCTTCAGTGTTTCATTCCTGGCCTAGAAGATCATGTGGTCTTTAAATGTTCTTTGCAACTATGAATGCAACTCCATTCTTCTTCAGTGTTTCATTCCTGGCCTAGAAGATCATGTGGTCTTTAAATGTTCTTTGCAACTATGAATGCAACTCCATTCTTCTTCAGTGTTTCATTCCTAGCCTAGAAGATCATGTGATTGTCTGATTTAAAGTGGTAAATGTTAGTCAATCTCAGTTTACTAATGTCAGTCTTTGTGCATTATATTTCCTTTTTACAACTTCCAGTTTTCCTAGATTCATACTTTGCACATTTCCTATTTAATTACTAATAGATGTTGCAGCTGTTTTTTTCTAATTTTTTAGTGTCTTCCAATCTGGGACTCTGCCTCCCTTACTGTATCTAACAGTATTCCTCTATTGTTCATGGAGTTTTCAAAGGCCTGCTATTTCAGAAATGAAAGGCCAATATTGCTTCCTAATCTTGCTTTTAATCTGTAAATTCCATTGATACCTATTCACTGTGTGTGACCCTGCTGGTGTTTGAAATACTGATGGCATAACTTCCAGCATTATAGCAACCAGCAAGTCATTCCAATATAGTAAACTGAAAGGTAGGTGTTGTTCTCATAAAAGTAAATTATAAATAAGCATAATATACACGCATAAGCAATTAAATAAGTAGCAACAGGTAATAAAAAAAAAATGACAAATACTCCCCCAATACAGAAAATGAAAAGAAAGTGTTATACTTCTAAGAGCAAACTGTAAAAACAAGCATACATACAAGCATGCATATAAGTCTCATTTGGCTCTGGTTTAGGCAGGCAGGTGGGGCAGTCACATATGAGTGTGGTGGTGAAGGTATGAAGGTATGAATTGTTACTGCTTTCAATAGGTTATGTTCTTAACTGTAATTTTTTTTAAATAATCTGATAGAACCTATATCTCTACTCAGTATATTCTAATGCTGTATCTGTTTACTCTTTCATTCCTTAAGGGTAATTTTTTCTTTATGTTTATGACACCAAGTACTAAAAAAAAAGGCAGCATAGAGGAAGGTAGTGTATCATTAGCACACATCAGGGTCTAGGAAATAATTAAATTATTATAGAAATAATAAAATGAAAAGAAAGTCTGGTTTTCATTTAATTCACATTCAGCAGTTTCTATCCAACAGGGGGAGAAACTTTTCTGAAAATTTTGGGCATATCTATTTTCTATACTTAATTTAATTAAAACAAGCAATCAAGTATTGAAAGCAATTGAAACACAACAAGGAGAACATAAAATGGCAACAGATTTTGTCTATTTTTTTTAAATATTTCCAAGCATTCCTGTGTGGAAACTATTGAAAATATTTCTCTTTTTTTTTTCCATCTGTGGTTTCTAAACTATTCCAACAAGGTTAGTGTGTGAAAATGTGTTGATATCAAAGATATTTGAATAGACTGAAAAGAGATTATGTGAGTTTATATTTTATGGAGGTGTGAATCAATCAGTTAATCACAGTTTGAGAATTAGTTTTCTGAAATGTTTACAAGTAGTATATCTAGCTTCTCACACACTTGAATTACAAATTCATATGATATTTATATTAGAAAAAGTAATATGTATTTTCAGGATGAGAAAATTTTCAATGACCCTTCAATGGTGTCACAATTCCATTAGTATATTTAACCCAATTTAGTCACCCAGAGCTCTCATGCTATTGCTCTCAACTTCATAAAGCTCTTGGCTGTGGCCAAGTCTCTCATGAAACCTATATTAGGCTCTCTCTCTGGACCCTCTCTCTGCCAGATGTTTTACTAACTATTCCAAAGCTGTCAACAATTGAGGTTCATTAACAATTTTTAAACTTGGGTCCACAGGGCATCTTTAGCTTCTGCAGAAAATTAATCCCCATGCACCTACTCTAAAAAGAATAAGAAAATCTTTGTCACTCTGACCACACAGATACTTTAAGGAATCCTGATCCTGCATTTTAAGGACTTTAATAAAATCACTCAGAATAGAAAGATCAAGGAACTCTTAGTACATCAAATTCTTCTCTTTATTTTTATCACTTCAGGGTTTATTGCTTTGTTTTGTTTTCACTAACAAAACACTCTGTATATCAGATACATGCTTTTCCTCCTGTTGTAATTCATAGAATGAAAGAAAATGCATTTCTTTCCTAGTTAAGAAGAGTGAGATAAACCAATGGAAAGTTAATAAAATATAAGAAAGTTGTGTACTTTGCTGAGATTCACATGAAACAGCTCACCTCAGATTTATTTGTCAGAAGCAACAAAGGAAAGAGCTTGCAGCTGTGATTTAGATTGCCAAAGGTATGAGAACTGTAAGTCTTTAAAGTCACTGAAGTTATCATCCTGTCAACATGGATCAAGAAATCAATCAGCTATGAAAATCTGGATGAAAATGCAATACTATTTTCCAAAGACCACAGGTTAGTATAAACATGAAAGGTAGAAGAGTCAGACCAATGTTTAATGTCACGTAGGGCCTCAAAAGTATGTAAAGAATAGTAAAAGAGATCAACAAGAATCATTAGACTATGATTTCTCTTTTTCCCCTAACCCATGCTAATGTCAATTAAAGGAACCTTTTGTATTTCCTTAATTTCTTGATTAAAAAGGAAATATAAACATCTGCAGAATACATGACTCCCAAATTTTCTCTCCTGAGAAATTACCAAGTTACCTACAAAGGACTCTTTTTGTAAAAAATATATCTGTTACTGAATTCTATATACCAATACTAGAGACCAAGCAAGTTTGAGATCATGGTGAGTTTTTATTCTTTGTTATCTTCAAGTTTCTTTAAAATTCTGAGAAAGATCTACCCTCAGATAATGCCTGTGACTCTCTCCAGACCTCTAAACACTGAGATATATCCCAAACTGTTTTGGTGGTGGCTATGAACAATGGCTCTGAACTTTGTCCTATCCTGAAAGAACTTCACCATATGAGGTGTATCTGATCCCATTGCCACAGTCACTGTATCAATCTATACCTCCTTAAGGGTCTTCCTCTCTTGCACAGGCCTTCTACCCTTCCAAGCATACCTGGGAAATTCTGAATGTGGTCTAGATAACGAAATACTAATAAATAAGATTTAGTGAGATGTGAGCCTAATCTATGTACAGCTTATTCCATCTTGAAATAAATTAAAATAGTATTGAGCCAAAGATTTTAAAGTCCTAAAGTTTCATTACACATTTAACCTAAAATGAAAGAAGGGCTATAGAAAAAAATCAATAAATGGTATCAAGATTCTTATACAAGGAAATCCCTATGGGTTCCCTGGACAGTGAAGTCAGGGATTTGAACTGTAATAGACATGAGGAACTATAGCATACACAAGTTATACACAATAAAAGAAAAAGGGGGGAAAGAAAGCATGGAAAACAGAACCAGTTATATTTCTTTCAACAGTTCAGAAACAACAGAGACAAAATATCAAAATTACTTAAATGTGGAGATTTTATAAACATTTCAGAAGGAAAAGGAAGGCTTATAAATATTCTTGAAAATTTTTTAGTAATCCTTTCATAGTATATTTTGTAAAGAGCCCTGGGGTCACAGTAGTTAAGCTTTTTGATGCTTAATTCGAGTCCATCAGCTTTTCTGTGGAAGAAAGTTGTGGTGGTATGCGTCCATAAAGACTCACAGCCTTGAAAAACCTACAAGGCGGTTCTACTCTGTCCTAGAGGATAACTAGGATGAGCATTAGAACCAAGAAGATACAAAAGGCAGACATTTATGCCTAAAAAATTGAACTATCAGAACCAGGAAACTTATATTGAGATGGATAGTATTAGTGATAGGAGTCATACGTGTGACTCCAAAAGCAGTGGACTCTTTGGAAGCTTGAGTGACATCAAAGGCAGTGAACTGGAATGAAGACCACCCACTAAACTTTGAACTCTCCATGACTTCATCTCATAGGCCTAAACTCCAGCCCTCAAGGCATGCCCAGACAGGGAAGTCATAAATACAACCTCATCTCTCTGACATGCTACCTCCTCCATATTTCCTTTCAAGGTGAAAGGTCTGTCCCTTTGGGATGTAACTTTCTAATAAATCTATCTTTATTTTTTTAACCTTCACTTCTGCCTCCTCTTTTTTTCCCCCATCCTTGTGCTCTAACAAAAAGTTTAAGCCTATACTTTAATGCTCTTTACACTAAAGTGTATTCTCCCAAGAAACCCTAAAACTGTTGTCCATTATGCTACCTTAGTCTCTTCCACCTGACACACTTCCTTTGACTGTGTGAGAAGTGCAAACTAGGGCATTGATCACAGGGTAACATTAGGAGTCAGAATTAATTCAATGGCAACAGGTTTAATATATTTGATTAAGGATCTGGGAATATGTCAACTTAATGAGTTCCGGGAAACTTAAATAATAAAGATCATTTGCACAGAAGACTTGACGCTTCCTAGGAATCAAGCACAGTCAAGGGAGATACTGACTTGGGCAATTACATAGATAATACGATTTTGTCCTATAGATTACAGTCCATTTTATCTCTCTCACCTTAATAATTCTTCCGTTTTCATCACTGACCTCACTTTTTCTCTTTAGATCTACTGAAGTTCAACAATGAAAAACCAGACCACATTTACTGAGTTTATCCTCCTGGGACTCACAAATAAACCTGAACTCCAGGTGGTAATATTTATCTTTCTGTTCTTCACTTACATGCTAAGTGTCCTAGGGAATCTGACTATCATTATCCTCACCTTACTAGACCCCAATCTTCAGACCCCCATGTATTTCTTTCTCCGGAATTTCTCCTTTTTAGAAATTTCTTTCACCTCTATATTTATTCCTAGGTTTCTGACGAGCATGACAACAGGAAATAAGGTCATCAGCTTTGCTGGCTGCTTGACTCAATATTTTTTTGCTATATTTCTTGGGGCAACAGAGTTTTACCTCCTAGCTTCTATGTCCTATGACCGCTATGTGGCCATCTGCAAACCCCTGCATTACATGACCATCATGAGCAGCAGAGTTTGTATACAGCTAGTCTTCTGCTCGTGGCTGGGAGGATTTCTAGCTATCTTACCACCAATCATTCTGATGAGCCAGGTGGATTTCTGTGTCTCCAATGTACTGAATCACTATTACTGTGACTATGGACCTCTCATGGAGCTCGCTTGTTCAGATACAAGTTTCTTAGAATTGATGGTCATCCTCTTGGCAGTTGTGACTCTCGTAGTTACTCTTGTGCTAGTAACACTTTCCTATACATATATTATCAGGACCATTCTGAGATTTCCTTCTGCCCAACAAAGGACAAAGGCTTTTTCCACTTGTTCCTCCCACATGATTGTCATCTCCCTCTCCTACGGAAGTTGCATGTTTATGTACATTAATCCCTCTGCAAAAGAAGTAGGTGCTTTCAACAAAGGAATAGCTGTTCTCATTACTTCAGTTACTCCTTTGTTAAACCCCTTCATCTACACTTTAAGAAATCAGCAAGTGAAGCAGGCCTTCAAGGATACTGTTAAAAAGATAGCAAAGTTTTAACTTAAAAGTTGAATGTATTTTAATGAAATATGCATATCTTTCACTTAATAAACATGTATTGTGTTTCTACCATATTTCAAATGCTAAATTGATCCTCAAGGATGAAAATATAAAATGCACATATCCTAATTTCAAGAAAACTGGGAAAATATCGTCTAGTTTTGAAAGCATGTGGAAAAAGATGTAGAACGCAAATTTGTATGATAAATTCACCAAAAAAACCCAAACAAACAAAAGAGTAAGGCAAATGTTATCAGAGAGGGGTAAATGTGAAGCCATAAAAAAAGAATATTTAGAAAGAATTAGCTCTCTTAATAAAAGCAGGAAATAGTTCACTTAAGACTTAGGAAGTAAAATATATCATTTATTTGAAAGGGGAAGAACAAAGGAATAGGCCAGATCATGAAGCTATAAAGTTAGTCAGGCATTGGTGAGTCAAAAGATGTATTTAAAAAGCAACATTACTAACATTGTCTTGAGGGGAACATAGCACTGGCATGTTTTTCAACATGAAGCCTAGAGATTATGCTTCCATCCTTCCAAGTGTCAACATGTTTTATTCTCCTCCCCTTTTTTATCTTTCAACTACTAGACAATACAACATCCATGCTTTCATAAGAGGAGGAAAAGATATGCAGTAATCTCTTTTTCCAAATAAGTAAATATTACTCAAATTAATAATTTTATTCAACTTACACTTTATTTTTCTAAAGGTTGAGAGTCAGGAGCTATTCAACAGGATTCTACAACAATAAGATCAAAAGAAATATTTAAAGACAGAGTTAGAAACATTTTCCTAGTGAGAATATGTTGTTTCTTCCTTTAGCTGACCTATTTTTAAATTAATGTCATGGTATCTACTCTCTTTAATAATGTCTGATTCTTTTTTCCCCATTGTACTTTTATATTTTGGTTTCTTTTTATTAGTTACGAGGGACTTTAGTGGCATCATCCATAAAGAGTCATGTTGCCTAAGGAAAAAAACAGATCATACCTCTCTGACAGTTCAAATTTCATATACACCAATAGTGCAATGGAAAAAAGATGGACAATCTGTTCCTGTACCATTACAGTAGTACATTTGGGAGTTTGTTTCAGGGTTTCTTGGGGGGGGGAGGAGGTAATCAGCTACTGTTGTTGTTGTTATGTGCCGTCGAGTCGTTTGTGACTCATAGCGACCCTATGTACAACAGCCCTAAACGATGCTCTATCGTGTGCCAATCGCATTGCCTCTGACACACCCATCCCGATTACCCCAGTCACTGAATCAATCCACCTCATAGAGGGTCTTCCCCTCC